CCCCCGACAGGGCTGGGGTGAGCCGGGCTGTGCCCGGTGCCAGACCGCGGGAGACCTTGGGCAAGCCCCTGCCGGGCCGGCCCCTGGGACAGGGTCTCCCTGCCCTGGTGGGGACCCACAAGGATGTGCAGCCACTGAACCTCGGGGCTCTGCGGCACCGCTGGAGCCAGGGTCCTGGCCATCTGCCTCCTCGCAGTGAGGTGAGGGTGCCTGGAGCCATGCAGGCTGTAATTAAATCATTAGTTAATGCACCTGCTCTGCACTCGTGACCTTCCAGCACTGTTGATGCAGGAAGGTTCAGCCTAGGAGAAGGAGAGATGGCCTCTCTTTTGCTCCTGCATGGGCCAGTTGGGACCCTACACCTGAAAGTGCTGCAATGCCTGTCCCCTTCCTGAAGGGTGGGGGCAACCCAGGGTCCTTGGGACTCCCAGTAGTTGGACTCAGGAGCTGCAAGGACTAGCTCGGGGGTGGGGGGGTGCTGGAAACACTCTCTAGCCTTGTGCTGTGCAGCAAAGGGAAAGGGCCAGGTGAGAGCAGGTGCCCCCTGCCCCCTTCTGTGCCCATTCTGCCAGGCAGGATGGGACAGTCCCCCATTCCAACGCTGCCCCCCTCCAGGTAGCATTCCCAACGGAGGGAATGGGACGGACTGAGGACCCTGTGGAGGGAGGGAAGTTTGTAGGTCTTTCCTGAGAATAAGCTGAAAGAGATTGGCCTTGATGTGCAGGATGGTGGTGCAGCCTTACCTTCCCTAGCATCCTGCAGTATTCACCTCCTCATCCCTTTCTCCCCTCAGAGCTTACGTCTCCCTCTGGCTTGGGGCTGCAGTTCCAGTTCAGCCGTACACAAGACCAGGATGTTCACATCCTGCAGGCTCAGCTTTGGCTCTACCTTCGAGTTCCCCGAGACCTGGTAGCCAGCCTCACCCTGAGAATCTTCCTTGCTGGTGGGGAAGGTGATTTGGTGGGGGGCAATCGCACGTTGCTGAGTGAGAGGCGACTGAGTGCGAAGGGCAGCGGCTGGCATGCCTTCACCCTCATGCCTGCCCTGCAGAGTTTCTTTGGGGGAGAGCGCAGGACCCTGTGGCTGGAACTGGAAAGCCGCAGGGACGGGGGGGGTATCATGGCAATAGTCAATGCCAGCCGGTCCCACCAGCCCTTCTTGGTGGCCGAGGCAAAGGTGCGGGAGCCGGGACATCACGTGGCCAAGCGCAGCCTCCGCTGCAGCCAGAACTCCAACCTCTGCTGCCGCAAGGACTACTACGTGGATTTCCGTGACATTGGTTGGAACGACTGGATCATTAAGCCTGAGGGCTACCAGATAAACTACTGTGTGGGCCAGTGCCCTCTACATGTGGCAGGCAGCCCTGGGATGGCCTCTTCTTTCCACACAGCTGTCTTCAACCTCGTCAAAGCTAACAACATCCAGGCATCAGGGCACTCTTGCTGTGTGCCCACGCGACGCCGGCCCCTCTCTGTCCTCTACTTTGATCGCAATAGCAACATTGTCAAGACTGACATCCCTGACATGATTGTTGATGCCTGTGGCTGTAGCTAGGGTTGGGAGAGCTGTGCTGGGTACCCCCCTTCTCCGGTACTGCGTTTCTGGGGTGGGAGGGGGAGACCTGGAGAGCTCCTTTGAGCTGGAGTCAGACCGTGGTGCAATGGACCCCTTTGAAAAGGTTGGGAGGGAGGGAGGGAGAGGGTCTCATCAGAGGGAGCAGGGGTTGTCTCCAGAGAGCACCTGGGGCAAGGGTCTCTCATGTGGGACAGAGCTAAGGCCACATTAGACTGCCTGTGTCTGAGCTGTGGGTGGTTGATGACTCTGGGCATCCCTGCCCTGACTGGCAGCATTCCTCTGGTCCCAGGCTGATCCCACATTTCTGGTGGTCGTGTTCCTCTCTGTGTGTGGGGTGAGGGGGCCCTCCTTTGTTCGCATTCAGAGTGTCTGGTGACAGTTTGGGACTTGGCCTCCTTGAGAGCAGAGTGGAAGGTGGGAATGGGTCTGTTTCCTCCAAGTGGGAAACTGGTGGACAAGAGGCAGTCCTGCCTTTCTCCTCTACTGCAACAAATCTTCCTGCATCAAATTTGGGCCTATTGTTGGGGACAGGTGGAATGAGGCACAAATAACAGGCCTGGAAGGTGAGGGTGAAGGATATGACTTTGTCAAGAACCCCAAAACTGCAATGACTAGACATGGTCCTCTGCTCCCAGGAGGACATGGAGCTGTGAAGGATGGCCTTGCTTCCTGGCCAGGTCCTGTGTATTTCCCCTTTCATTTCCCTGGGTTTTGTACTTTTCTTCCCTGCTGCCCACCCCACCAGACAGGTCTCTTCCAGCCCAGTGCCTCCTTACGAGGAGGTCTGACTCAGACTTTGCCTTTAAGACCACACTAAAGGTACAGATTTTTTTGTACCTCTAGTTTTGCAGCTAATACTACTTCTATGGTAGAGGCTTCTGCCACTGTTGGGACTCCCTGGTGCTCCATCCTGTCTACCCACCTCTCTACTGAAGATCCCACTCTGCCTTTGCCTTCCTCACGTATGCAATGCACCCACACGGCCTGTGCTTTTAATTTATTTTAATACATTGGTGCAGCTTCCCCAATAAATGGGTGGAAATGCAACATCCAGGCTCTGACTGCGTTCTCCTGGCACCACCTGCATGAATGGGGTGGGGGAAATGGTCCTGCTTGGCCAGAAGGTCCTACTCCTGGCCTAGACACCTCAGGCTCTGGCTGGGAGGATGCTGGGCTCTGGGGCTGGAGTGGCACAGGAGCTGCAAGCCGTTAGCAGCAGCTGTGTGCAGCACTGCTGTGCTGGGAGGTGAGGGGAGCTGTGGTGCTTCTGGGACTTCCTGGGGGCCATGGGGTGTTGCGCATTGAGACCCTGTGTGAGCGTGGCTATGCAGGGGGCTCTTCCCTGTGGATGGGGGACCCAGGGATAGGGTAGGGGCTGGAAACCAGGTACCACCTCACTGGGGGCTGGAGAGAGGTGTCCTGTAATGTGAGCATCAAAGCAGCTGTTTCTCAGCAGGGCAGGTACTACTGGGAGGCGTAGCCCAACCTGAAGATGCTGTTCTCCACCTGGATCAGTCCCGAACGGAGTGCATAATACCACAGCTCTGGAGACTCTGGCCCCAGGGGGATAACCTTAAATGATGAGCCACAGGCCACCCCTAAAACCTGTGCCCCCACTGCAAATACCAGAGATTGTACCCTAATCATGTCTCATTGACCTCCCCAATCCCCGCTCATATGCTCCCATAAACACCACCCAGTGACCCCGGTCTCAACCCCAGAGCAGCCAGTCATAGAGTCTGGCAATGCCCAAGTTGATGGGTGATGGGGAGTCTCCTACGTAATTTGGGGTGGAATGCTTCTGGAGTGGGAGGCAATGCTGCCTGCTCATCCCTTTGGGATCCCACATGGCTGGCCTGGGTCCTTGTTGCGCAAGTGCCTGCTCAAAGCTCAGTTTGGGGCTGTTTTATCTGGGGACAAACCCACTTGCTTTCCCAGCTTGGCCCTGTGCTGCGCCCTGCAAGCGGACAAAGGGCAGCTTTCATCAGCCAGCTGCAGTGGGCATCCCCCCAGGCTGCAGGGGCAGCATGGCCATCACCCACACTCCCCAAAATATCTCCACCTGTGGGGAAAAGCTGACTGCACCTGCAAGATGCCTCAGCCTTCTAGGCACTTCCACAGACCCAGCACGTGCGTTGCTGACACAACAGGGCACCTTATCGGTGTCTGTGCCCCCAGGAGTGTGTGCTGCCATACACGTGCCAAGAGTTGCAGGTGTGGATTTCAGGTAAGCGCACGGGGATGTGCACAGTGTCTTTATAGTCTCCCTGCTCCCTCCCCGTATCAGCACTCTTGCTCTAGCCAGTGCAACCTGGGGGGGCGGGCAGGGAGGCATCCCACAAAGACGCCAGATATCATGTTTTCATTCGCTAGCAACACAGCATCTTCCCTGTTGCAGTGAATGTGTGTTTCCATGTGTGTTGGGGGGAGGTTGTCCACACGCATGTGCATGATGTGCTGACTCACTGACACACTGACCCACCAGCCCAGAGCCAAGATGCTGAGCTGGCTGTGGTGGTACCATTAAATCTTTAATCTGGGTGATCATCTGGCCCTGCTCTGAGCTGCTTTAACTTTCCTAAACAGGAGGCCAAGATTAACCGTGGGGTGGGCGATGCGGCAGGATTGGGGGTCTGGCAGTTGAGAGCTACTGGGGGGGGGAGCTGCCCAAGCGTTTTTTCCACCCAGGGGGCTCAAAGCTGGTGGCAAAATGGACCTGGGCCTGTCTGGCCATGCAGATGGCCCCTTGGGAAGAGGTGGGTGGTCTTGGGGCGAGGCCCCAGACCCCAGGATGGAGGCCTGGCCAGGCCGTGGCAGTGTGGGTGGCAGGACTGGCCCCGCACAGTGCCCAGTGACCAGGCAGGCTTTTCCTGGCAGCTTAGGTGGGGTCACAGCTCAGGCGTAAATCTGCTGAGCTGCTTATACCTATTACAAAACGGGCATGCAGGCAACCCCTCTCACCTGCACCTGCCACCTTGGCCTTGCCTTGGGGCTGATGCTGTGGGACTCGATCCACTGCAGCAGTCTGGAGGCACCCCAGGACACAGCTAGCTGTTCTCCCCTCGTGCCAGAGGAAGGGGGGAACTGTGCAGGCATTGCCACCTCCCCTGTGTGCTGGGGCCTCCCTGAGGAGCAGAGACACCCCTACTCACCCCTCGCTGTGTTGGGGGTGGCTGACAGGGAAAGAAACCAACCTCAGACTAGGACAGTAGGGAGGGAAACTGAGGCAGGAAACAGTCTTTTGCAGGCCACGTCTGGGAGCTGAGGTGTCTCCTGAAATCTCTCTCGTACTGCAATCCCCACGTTGTCCCTCTGCTCTGGGGGTCCCATGCAGTCAGTGGAGAGGGCGTTTCCCAGAACTGTGGCATGCGTAAAGCTACTCCTGTGGTGCACTGGGCACCTGCAGTGCGTGATGACACGCGGGGGCACTGGGAGGACAGGCTAATGCCAAGGAAGGCAGAGTGCCCACAGCAGGGGTAATCCTGCTAAGAGGCTCTGAGGTCAGGCTGGGTGTGTGACACAGCTCCCATCACCTTTGAGGCTCACACTAGACACGGGCAGCCGTCATCCCAGGGAGCAGGATGGATTTGGCAGGAGCTGGGAGCAGCTGAGCACTGGGGCAGGGTGAGAATGCTCATGCCCCCACGAAAAGTGTGTCTGGGGTCACCTGGAGACCTGAGCATGCACAAGGTGGGGCATGTGCTCACTCCGAGCAGGCTTTCCTCCCGCAGGAGCCCCAGGGAACAGCCCTTTGCCAAGCCCCACTCCTGGTCCAGGCTCACTCCAGCCCTAGTGGTCCTGCTGCCTTGTCTGCTCTGGGCTGCAAGGCTCCATGAGGCCACCATCTGGGGCCCAGAGCTCCCGTGTGGGCTGTCCAGGCAGCGGGTTCATAGCTTTGGACTCACTTTCCCAGCAGTCATGGAGGGAGGACTAGGGAAAATGGGGTGGGGGCAGAGCTGCAGGAAGGAGCAGCTTCCTGAAGGGACCCATCAGGGCAGCCCCAGGAGGATTGCTGGACACCTCAGTGGCTTGCAGGATGGGAAGGCAGGAGGACTTCCAGGTGGAAACGAGGGGGCTCATCTCCTGAAGTGGCTGAATGGGGTCACCTGCAAGGATGGGAGGGCTAGTTTAAGGGGAAGGAAGAGGTTGTAGAGCATGCCCACTGGAGGCAAGATCACCTTAGGGATACAGCCCGCACCTGGCACGTCTGGTTCTTTGGGCAGACACATGGTGTGCAGCTGCTCTTGGAAGACCTGGGGAGAAAGGCCCGACCCCTGCCTCCATCTAGCTGCCCCACTGCAGTGGGACCCTGGTGGGCACGGGGGCACTGGAGGCCTCGGAGCACCCCAGCTCTGGCCTCACAAAGTGGATGAAGATGGCTGTGCATCCCTGGCTGGAGGAAGAGCCCACTGCCCCACGTGCTGAACCCTGTGCACCCCCAGAGAGGGGCCATAGCAGCCCCCAGGCCTGCACCTTCCCCAGCCCCTCGAGGGGCCAGGGACCCCCCTGCTCCAGCTCTCTCTCAAGGGGGTAGCACCCGAAATCCTGCTCTCTCCCCATCATTTCAAGGCAGGGTGATGTGAAGAGAGCGATGTCCCCTGGGGGGGACGGGTGGGGAAGGGCCGCACCGGCC